CAGGCAGATACACAAAATTATTAGTTACGCCGGCCATAAGTAATCAAAGTATCCGAGACTAAATTTAGATGAAATGTCATATCGTCAAGTGTTCCAAAAAAATCATCAGCGTGTTTCAAGTAAGATTTCAATCTATCTAGTATTTGATCAAAAGTAAATATATCAAGGTAGTTTTTAAAAAATAACTGCTTCCTATCCAGGTCTAAAAGCTGAAAAAAATTGGCCAAACTTTTGGAAGTGTGCATACATCACTCCAATTCACAAGAAGGAATCAAAGGCGTTAATTAAAAACTACCGTCCCATTTCGTTGTTGCCAAGATTATCTCTCATTGTTGACTCGACTAGCTATACTAAAGTCTAGATCACGGTGAAAAATCGGAATCGTGTATCTCGATTTTAGCAAAGCCATCGACTTAGTAGAGCATTCCATTCTTATTGAGAAACTGATAACTTTCAGATTTGACAATGATTTTATTGACTGATTATCATCTTATTTAGCTAATCGCTACCAACGAGTGAATATTGATGGAACTCTTTCTAGTTTTTTGCCAGTGACTAGTGATGTACCCCAAGGAAGCGTTTTGGTGCCGTTATTATTCCTAATTTTTGTCGAGGACATGCTTGAACCACCCTCCTTATCCTGTTGTTACTGTTGCGCTGATGATACAAAACTAGTAGCTCAAGGAGAATCCCTCAACAGATTTCTTCAAGATGATTTAGATTCTTCGAAGTTGTGGGTCATGGGATAATTAGCTGTCTTTCAATTCCGTCAAATGCTGTTATCTTCATATCAATAGCTCAAACGATTTTAAACTGTTTCTTGGTAACGCTGATATTGTAAAGCATAGCTCTGTAGCTGATCTTGGAATCCAAATAAATTCAAACATGAAGTGAAACGCAATTATCTCAGCGAAAATACTAAAAGCGCGGCGAATATTCACTTATCTTCGACATACTATTCCCCAAAATGTGTCGTCAGGTGTGAAGTTCAATTTATTTATAACGTGTCTTATCAGTAGTTCTTTACGGTTACCCCTCCTGGTTTCCGAGTCTTTGTTCATTGCGAAAGCTGAAGCAGCTGAATCAACAAGGTTTTCAGTGATCTTTGTTCAGTCTTTTACATTACACAGAGCTACTAAAGAAATCAACTCTATGCCGATCTCTTATCAGCTTATTGAAAAAGATCTACGATTTTTCACGGCGATCAATATCATTTTAAATTTCATACCATTTGAGTTAGGTCTGAAAAAAACCTACGAAAACAACGCTAAGCTAGCCTTAACCTTAAAAATGATCCCAGCTTTAAGCTTTGTTCCGCTCTCAGATGTCGAATCTGCGTTTACTCTTGTCATAGACAAAATTTGCCAAACTGCTGATCAGTTTGACATTCCAACTGATATCTTCGAGAAAATTGACAAGCTCGCATCATATTTCCAGAAGACTTATATAAAAAAAAGAAACAATTGGTCGACAACAGTGTGATCCTTTGTTCCCCCCAGCTCTATGGAATCATTACGACAACGCGGCGGCCGGTCTCATTTTTGTGCTTTATAGCCATCGTAGAGGTACCATTTTTTGAGAGGTGATAAAGGCCACTATGACAAAAATTTTGCCTTTTCCCTCGCCACGCCCTCCTATACCGGTTACCTAGTACAGGGGGGATTTAGGGGTTTTGGGGACAATTTTTATCGACTTCGAATTAAAACGGTTGATCCGCCGTGAATCGATCGTTTGATCTTTTGACCGAGAGTCATATTCTTTAACCATAATGCCAAGTGAGCTTAGAAAGTCATATCTTTATGCTTTGATAGTTCAAAAGATTGGTAGAATTAAAACGTGCATTGAAATTTTCACGCTTCGAACTGAATTTGATTTCACGCGCTTTTTCAAACGTTAGCATTGCTTTGATCGGTTTGTTCAATTTCGGCATCTTGGTTTCAATTCCTTTGATTATTCTATTGCGATATTTTAATTGTTTCGATTCCTCAGATGGGATATTTCAATTAGCGTGGGCTACATCGTCCTGGGCTATTTTTACTTCTGGGATATTTTTGACTGGGATAACTTCGCCTGGGATAAAAACATCATCGACACATATTGACCAACAGTGACATATTGACTTCACACATTGACCAACAGTGACATTATCTTCTTCGGAATAACAACTGATAATACAAGCAATGTGTTCAAATTGTCAACAATTTAATGAAATTACGACAGGAAAGAGCCTTAACATATTTCCGTGCATCAAAACGCAATCAATTGTCAACGCAGTTATCAATTACCAGATGAAGGGCCTATTTTCATCAGCATACCGACTTTTTTACATCAGAAGCAGCACAGACTTTCAATAGCAACATAAGAAAGCCTCTTCCAAAACCAAAAAAAGACGACTTAGAAAACTTCGCATACAAGATAACCAAATGGAATGGAATCAATCGAAACATAATCGACCACCATTTTAACCGTAGTACTGCAACAAGAGTGTCAAATAAGTAGTAAGCCTCTGGAAACTCAACACCCTGCAAAACGAAAACAGATCGGAACAACAGAATTATCTTAAATCCAAATCAAAGGCAAACGCCTTTCATCGAAAATTTACCTCAAGCAAGCGGTTTCAAAAACAGATCTAGATAAAGCTGAGCTATTCAATTACTATTTTCCTCTTCTCCAAAAACTAGTACATAGTCCAAAATATACCATCATACGGAGCAACAACAATCCTTATTTTAAAAATGAGTAAGACTAAAACCCCGCCTACATCAGCAACGCTCTCTTCAAAAATCTAGCCGATTCGCTACCAAAGTCAATGCACGTGATTTTCAATCTAAGCGCAAACAGCTGTATTTCCAATTAAATAGAAAATTAGTGTTAAAAACACAATTTTTAGTGAAGGTGACACACAAGACGTGTCAAACTACAGACCAATAAGTCTAATATGTGTGATCTCCAAGTTGTTATGAATTGACTGTCTTCTATGTCGAGTTTCAAAAAATTTTCAACAAAAAGTAACCTCAACTTCTTCTGGAAAAACTCTCAAATTTTTAAACTGGTCACAATTTCTTCAATCTCGAATGGAGGTACTTAGGAAACCGAAAACAAGCGGTCAGAATCAGTGAACAAATATCAAGTGAACTATCTGTATAAAGTCGAAAACTACAGGTACCGCTACTGGTGCCCCTCTTCTCCTGGTGTAAATGAACGATTTACCTGAGAACATCATGTCACCAGACTTGGGCTATGTGAACGATTTCAAAATCAACGGCAGCAACCCTATTACACTGAACATAGACTTGAGAAGATTACAAAGACTAGCGGCCCTTTGCAGCTAAAGCTCATCCTGAAAAACGACAGCATTTACCAATGACTAGATAAAACAATGGATGACTGGGCAAAAAGGTGGATGCATATTTGACTGAACTGATGGTTGGACTAATGGATGGGTAGATGGATTAACCGATTCATTGCTGGATATACGAATGGATGAACAGAGGGTTAGATAGATGGCTGGTTGCATTGACAAAAGATGGGTGGCTAGATGTATAGTGGCCGCATGGATTGCTAGTTGCATGGATAGATGATATCGCCTTAATAAGATATGGTTGGGTTGATAGACAGTGGATTCATGGCTGGGATCGAGATAAAGCAGGGATCGACAAAAAGCAGGCTGGTTGGATGGATGGACTGACGATGTATGGCTAGAGAGTTTGATGGCTTGGTGGATGGACAGACGGCTGAATGTAAGAACTGATTGCTCGAAGGTTGAATGCATGGCTTGGTGGATTGCTGTTTGGTTGGAAGAACTGATGAAGGGGATGGATAGAATAATGAATGGATGGACGGGTAGAAGAGTATCTGGGTACCAGATAAGATGGATGGCTGGACAGATAATGGAGGGATGGACGATTGGTGGAGGATGAATGGTGTAATGTATTGAGGATGAATGGCGTAATGTATGCGAGGTTGGGTGAATATATGGCCTACGGGCTAGCTGGAGGATAGATTGCTGGAGGAATGGATACATCGCTTGATAGAAGACTGGTCTGATTGATAGACGATGGTTGGCTTGAGCGATTGCTTGCATCAATTATGAATGGCTAGATAGCTTGATACATAGACGGATGGCTGGATGAATAATTGGAAAAATGGAAAGATTGTTAGAGGGATGGATGATTGTATGGATGACATGATATATTGCTGGTTGGATAGATGAACAGAAGATGATGGCTAGATAGATGGATGGATGGCTGGAAGAACTGACAAATAAGGTTTGTGTAGATGGCAGACTCGATGGTTGATGGATGCATTGTATGCATGATTAAATAAATAGAAAGATGGCTGAATAGTTGGAAGAACAGATACATGGTTAATGGAAAAGATGGTTGGATGTATTGCTAGATTTATTGCTGATTGGATTGATGATTGGATGTTAAATGGCTAGATAGGCAAATGGCTTGATATGTTGCTGGTTGGATGAATGAATGGATGATGGTGGATGAGGATGATGGACGTGCCCCTCCTCATCCTAGTCCTGCCCTGTCATGCACTCCCTACCCTGCCTTGCCTTTCTTAGCTCTATTCTCCCTTGCGCTGCCATAAGCTGCCTTGCCCCTACTCGACCTGCCCTGGATTGTCCTTCTCGTCCTACCCTGCGCGCCCTACCTTGCCTTGACGCGCCTCGCCATGCCTTGCCCATCCTCGCCCTGCTTGGCCTTGCCTTGTACTTGAATGTTTCTTAAGCACTGCAAAATACGATACAGCTTGAACGTGCAAAATTTCGTTCCTTTCTGAAATCATAACCATGAGATATATGGTTATCTTCAACATGGGGAGATAGATAGTCGCATTTAAATAGATAATAGATCGATAGATGGTGCGCAGACAATTTCATGATTTATTTTGTAATAAGTGTTGTCGCAGCATTCGGTACCATTTGCACAGCAACTGGCGATCCCTCTTACAATTGCATTTATTACACCTGTATGAATCGTCATTCTCACCTCGGTACATAGATGGTCCGTTTGGATGTGTCTGTGCCCGTTTGAAGTAGGGCAGACAGTGGAAGTAGTCCCACTCTGTTCCCAGTTTCCCCTCATGTCCCGCCCACCTGTCGTAGTCTGCCGCGTGTCCTCTCACATAGGCCATGCCGTTGATAGACGAGGAGCCACCCCAGCCTATAAACATCATAAAAAGATAATAGTGACGATTCAACTGCCAATTAGGTTACAGATGGCAAGGCAGCTTGCGTTTCATTAAAAGCTCCCATATCATTGTGAACAAATTAACTATTGTGAACAGACTTGTTCTTCTTCATATCGTACATCTAACACCACGCGTTTAGCCATAATCACAAGTAAAACAACTAAGAAAACTGAAAACTTGAAACTTGGGGGTAAAAAGGAAAAGAGCCTCAAATGTTTGATGTTCAAAGTTTGATGCTAATTATTAGGATCTCTTTAACTACCCCCTTTTGGAGAAAAGTGGGGATTCGTTACTATAAACAAAATTCGCAAATGATTAACCGTTGAATTATTTCGTTAAAAGGGGTAGAAATAGTTAACCAGATCCAGTTTTGATAGTTTCCTATCAAAATATGAGTGCGTACCTTTTCCCCTGGGACAGTAAATTGTTCTGTTGTTCATGTGTTTCTGTGGGACTGAGTTGAAATTCCAGTTGAACTTGGTCGAACCCTCTCCCAGATTATACATGAGTGCCACTGGCATGTGCACTGTCCACGACCAGTCTCTAGGACCTGCCTCTGGATAAATAAAGATAAGTTTGGCAATAATAAGACAAGCACAGTTGACTCTTACTAAAGATTTGCTCCACGATCGCTTGTAATTTTACTAACATTAGCCACAAATAAAGCAGCTACAGGTGCTATCAAATTGCCAATGCTAAGCTGCAACAATTCGGCTAGGTAAAAAATAAAACTAATTCAATTGTTTCAAATTTGACTCTCCGACCTGTGGACTAGGAGTCTCACAACCTCGCATCTGCACCACGGTCGCTTGGAAGTAAACTAGTGTTCCAGCTAATACAGAATGCTCCTGTTTCACAAAGAGGCGAAGTGAAAATTCGCACCACTTCCGATACAACATTAAAATAGCAGTACAAGCAACACTGGTGGACAAAAATAAACGCAAATTCACGTTTTTATTCTCTTAACAGCCTATCTTTACAGACCATTTTGGACAACTTCACTTCAAATTTAACCACAACTTCTACATCGACCGTCAGCAAATGACCTGAACTACCCTCTCTGAAAGCCTCAATTTTTATTTTGAAGCACTTACCAGTTTTTTCCGGGTGTAAAAATGCCAGCTGTTATCATGCGCACTAAATTTTTCCCAAAAGGCGTGAAACTGTAAATAATAGCCGAGTTTAGTAAAGTTGTCACATTTATTTTTTTTTCAATTTTTTCGCTATCTTTCACATCGCATGAACAACTTTTTTACTCCGCTTATTCGAGAAAGAGTCCACTGGGTTGCAAATCTAGAGCAGACGGTAGAAACTGTCATTACAGACCCGGAAATAACTGGTCTTGAGGTTAAGTATTTTAAAATTAAACACCTAAATTTGCGCTCAATTTTGTCCATTCGTGTATTAGACACGAAAAGAAAGCCACTAAATCCCAAAAAAAAACTTAAAAACTCAAAATGTTATCTGGAATCATGTTCATTTTGCGGAACACACCTCCAAAAACAAAATCGACAACAATTAAGGAAAATTCAAAAAAATCAACAAGTGGCAACTGAGCCGACGAAACTTAAATTATTTCCCGTAGAACCGAAAACATAAATGTTGTCATGAAAATATCTTGAACCATAAAATCTATTCTAAGAATTTTAGCATTCTGTGCGATGATACAACTCATGCTTCTTGTGGCTTTGAAATGGCCCCAAAATAGATCACTAAGCCGATAAAACATAAGCCGAAATCAATTAAACCAAATAGAGTTTTAAGGCAAAATAAAACCAGCAAAAACATACGAAGTCAAGGCTAGTAACAATAAAAATTGCAGAAGTAATTCAAAACTCTGAAAGCAACAACATTGAAAATTGCGTACTAAAAATCAATTTTACGATGTGTCAGATTCGAACCCACGACCTTGCCTTTCCAGGGGTGTTCTTCAGCTCCAGGTTAATTACTGGACACGTATAGAAGTTTGAATTCACTATGAACCAAGATACAAGTGATTCTGTTAAACAAGTTGTTAACCAGAAAAAGTCTATATTCGGGTTTAATAACGCTTGCTAATATATTGTACTGATATCAAAATGCGTAATTTTCAAAAAAAAAAACGGGACATTACTGAACACCATATTTATTCCGTAGATTAAGAGGGGGATTAGCCGCTTATTTATGAGATAAATACTTGAACTTCCAATTGAAATCTTTATCTCAGGTTTAGCTGCGCCGAAAAAAGTGAAAAAGTTGGTAAACAACAATCAAAATTCCAGAAATTTGACTTTTCTTAAACCGATAAACTTATCTCTAAGTACCAAATTTTGGCACCATGTTTGAATCAACCATCAACCTTAGAATGATTCGGTTAGTTTCTGAGGAAAGGAAAATTTTTTCAAAACGGGCAAAATTTCAAAAACTGAACGTTTTCTATAGCCATATATTTTCCAAAATCTATAGTACAGCCGCTTGCGCAAGAAAAAAAATGCATAACTAAATTTTTGTGGTCCCTAATCTCAGATTTGACCGTGTAATTTTTTCAAAAATTAATCAGAATGTCAAAAAATGGGCTTTTTTCAGGCCATACTTTTTTCTACCAAACTTAGGGAGTAGTCACTTATGAAGGGGAATTTTTCATAATTTGGCCTTTTGATTGAAATCTTAGTCTATTATTTGTGCTGGTAATATCTGACACAACGAAAAAACTCAAAACAAACAGGTCAAAAGTCCCCCTGCTGAAACACAGTAATTTTTGAGAACTGAAAATTCCGCGAAAAATGCAAAATTTTCAAACGCGTCGCAAAAAAAAAAAACAATAAAAAAATCCTATACATTTTCATAACACCTGTTTTTTTTCAAACATGAACTAACATTAGCCAAAAATACAGCAGCAACATATGCTATTAAATTACCTATGCAAAATCTCAGCACGTTTATTTGCGACTTGGGTTGGAAAAAAAACATTCTTCATAGTAATTCAATACGCTTCGTTTGTGTAATTCTCTGCATTAGGTTTGCCCACATAGTCAATTCTTTCTCAAATCAACGAAGTAAAATTTTGCTCATACGATTAAAAATCGATATTCGGCTCCTCATAAGTTGACGCCTTTGTGAAACTTAATGCAGATGGTGAAAACAGGCGTTTCTAGAACCGAAAAGCTATCAAGTTTTGAAACCAAACATTGATACTTTAAACTAATGCTCTCGAAAATAGTCCGTAAAATAGACTTTACAAACCATGGAGCTGCAAAACAGAAAAAGAGTGTTTACCAAGAAGGAGTACTGAATTGTCCGTGTATTCCGTCAGTCTGTTCGCTAGCACGCACCCTGCCGACCCCGCCCCCACTATGACGTAATCAGCTTCATATTTCCACGAATTGTCGAACAACCGTGGGTTTTGTGATCGTGTAGTGGTAGTTTTGGTTGGTGCTTCAGTTTTAGTTGGTTCTGATTTTTTGGTTCCGGGTGTTCCAGATGAGGATGATAAACTTCTAAACAAGTGGTTTCCATCTTTTGATCGTTCACTCTAGCCAAGACGATTTTTTAATGTTTATAATCAGTGCCAATTTGTCGTTTTTAAGAATGTTTGTACTTTTTAACAGCTTTATTCGTGCAAGAGATACCGTATATTGCGATAAGACCTTAATTTTGCTTTACAATGTGGGCATGTGAACAAAATTAAGTCTGAATGAAATCACGCTCAAAGTCAGAAAATCAAACTAACAGCAAAGAAAACATTTGATATCAAAAACATCAGAGATTTATTGTCAACCAAAAAGAAAAGAGAAAATATCAATTCAAGCAGCAAATTAAATCAGCAAAAAAAATTTATTAGACATTGTTGCAATTTCACCTTTTTTTAGGTCGACCAAATTGATTTTCTGAGATCTCCCAAATCACTTTAAGACCATATTTTGACACAAATTTCTGCGCAGCAGACAGATTTTTGAAAAAACAGGCCGAGGCGTTTTTAGGCACTTTTAAAAAAATTTTGACCAAAAAATTGCGTTTTTCCCTTCAGCGCTTTCCCCCCTCAAAATTAGTATATTTTGCCACCGAAGGCGCCTTTGGAAAAATTTTAGGGCCAGTCAGCCGATAATGGATTTCTCAATATCTCAAAACTTTACAAAGGGGGGATCCTTTGGGTCGGCATGGAGTCAAACTCCTGAGAGGGGCACCTCCCCCCCCCCCCACCCCAACTTAATCCGCTGATGGGTTTGAGGACGTACAAAAGCCAAAAGCACACATGAAGTAGTTACTATCTGGCAAATTTTCGAAAAAAATCTACCTTTTTCTGATTTGACTAATATTGTGTATTGACTCCAGATATCTCCTTGGAGGTGCTCCACTGGAATGTGACAGTGTGTGGAATAATCTGGACTCTGATCCAAACATGGATTTACCCACTATCTTTCCAGCTTGCAGCAGTTCATCTCTAAGAGCGGCCATGGAGCTAGCATGCTTTAAAGCCGTATTTCTAAAACATCGAACACAATTTCAAGGTGAAGCGAAACTTCGAACTTCGAATTATTATGGATCAATAGTTATCAAATAGGGATGATTAATTATACAAAATTTTGTGGCTTTTTTACCCTTGCCTCAACGTTTCAATTTTTCCGTTTTCATAGTAATTTTACATGTGAGAAACATGGGTTTAAAAAATTTATTTTTTTTCACCATGCACATTTTCATTACATTATGGTTACGCTAAAAACAGTTTTTCACCATGAAAAGTCGGAAGGGGAGTGGTATAGAGCAACTTATTTAGTCAACTTCATTAAATAATTGGGGGACACTGAAAAGGAGGCACAGGACTCTTGCAATAGGAGTGGCATTGCGAGGCCTAGGAGTGTCATTTTTGCACAGCAACTTTTGTGCTTAAAGGTATACGGATTCTGTTGAAAATCTTTATTACATATAGTAAGCGTCGATTTTACGTGCATCTTCAATTGACTGTTGTCATTGCTACTGCTTCCCTTTACACTTTTATTTACAGCTTTACATTACATGCAAAAGCTTTATTACATGGGATAGGGTGGGGAGGATCCTCATTCTGACCTGGACATGTCGTCAGTGTGTAGTCTTCCGGGGAGTACAATATCTAACACATCGTGTATGTCATCCACCACGTAGTCACTCTCCTTCAACAGAGTCCCAGTGTCACACACGCCACTCTGCACACCTAGAAAAACAACAGAGCCAGAATTTTCTCAATGCCACAAAAAAGTTTTCAAAAGTGGATCTTTATAGTGTTTTGGGAGAGTAAAGGAAGGATCTGCATGAGCACTTTTCATACAAGATCAAAGGTAAAGGTGTAACATGAACACTTGCAAGAGGATTCAGAGAGTGGCCTGATTCGAGCCCATCTACCAAGCACAGGCAATGAGCAAGGAAGATGGAAAAGGAACAACAAGCATAAAGATAAAGCAGAACCCTGGAATGCGGCCTCTCATGGAGTGGGATCAAAAGGCTAGAGGATCAAAAAGTTCGTAATCAAAGAAATGCTATACGCTGACGATACAAGCTTAATGAGCGATTTGGAAGCGTTAAAACAAGGCAAAGAAGTTGTGAAGGAAGCTCTGGCAGAACGAATAAAAAAGTTAGCAGGGAGCAGAAGAGAATAAAGAATTTGATACGGAAAAACAGAAAATAGCCACGCGGATAGGAAAGAAGTGAAAGTCAGACCACAGAGAGGATAAAACGCTCGGAGTAAGATCTCGAAGGTTTTGGCGACTAAAATTGAGCAGGAGAACAAAAGCAATAGTAGCACAAGTAGTTATCGAGTTTTCATTAACCTTTGACTGTACCGTAACACCATGAAGCCAGAGGGATGTCAAGTTAACAAAAAGCATGGTCGATAAATGTGACCACTCGTCTGGATCAATGGAAAAGGACTCCTCCTAGTATCACCGCAGGTAGAGGGGTTAAATCTTGCGGTCTTCGAAGAGAGCTCCATGTCCCAGAACCCGAGGTTTGAAACAGAAACGAGAACAATGTAGGATATCTAATGAAAGAGTTGTGAACGTCAAACCAAAAAGAGCTGTAAAAAGAGTGTGGTGTTAGGACACTGGAACGAGGAGGTAACAGCGGAAGGTAAACTGAAGGAAGGACAATGGTTTAGTGGAGGCGATTTGTCTGACAGGCCGGAGAAGATGATACCAACCTAGAAAAGGCGAACAAAATTAAGAAATTGTCCATCAAGAGAACAGTCAGATTATTCAAATATTGGGAAGAGAAGATGAGTCTCATAAGAAAGAGCGACACGGATCCCATTAGAATACAGACATCTAAAGTTGATAAGACAAACTTTAGGTGTAGATGAGAAGGCTAGGAGAGGCTTTTTAGGACGGCCACAGGAAGGTAACAGCATGAGATGACAGTCCATGAGGTCTCCGACATGAAGTTCGCATACATAAAGTGTCAGAACGGCTTCAGAGAACAGATTCAGTTGACAAACCACGAGACAGCTTGTTCAAGACAGAAACCTAAAGTGGACTGCCCCATATGTAGCAAAAACATACTAAAGACCAGCCTAAAGAAACACCAAGACAATAACTGCCACGGAACAGTAGAAATAAGAGAAAAACCAGTTGAAAAAAAAACACCCAAGAGAACGCCGCCCAATATGCCACCTATGGAGATAGATGACCAAAATTTTAAGGCACCGAAGACGTGTACACAAAGAATTCGAAACAGCCAAGCCCGACAGGGCGTAAAGGCACGAACAAAAGAAAACTGGCCATCAATGTAACAACTCTAATTGAAATCATAAATAATTAAAATATTTTCCATGGGCTCCTTCTTTCAAAACGGGAAAAGCGAAGGTATCAAAAGGCAGCACCAACAAGGGGAGACTGGGCTCGGTAGTATGATTAGCCTAGGCAATACTGTCGGATCAGCCACTTGCGTTTAATTTTGTCCTTCAGTGTAGGAGGAATATCATGATTGATACAAACATGTTCCTGGTCCCTTGACCTTTAAAGTTCGATGTAATCGCACTCGCGTTAAGTAGACTCACCAATCACAGTTCCCAGCCCAGCAGATTTTCCCATCCCCGTATCTGACGGCGTATCCCCAACAACTGCGATCTTCTCAGCCGGACAGTTGAACAACTTCCCCAAGTAGTGAGCATTATGAGGGTCTAGGAAACAGAAAAAATATCATGAGTTCATCGCAGACTTAAGCCACAATCCAGCTTAAAATCATCTTAATTGGTTTGTTAAACAGCTTTGATTCGTTCTCCTTTATGGTATTAAACTGAGTTCGGATTCCGTATGCATTCTCATCGCGCCGTGTTTTTTTTGTCATTTTCATCATCAGGTACTCTTCTGTTGAAGTCTTCCACTTAAAAACATTATTGATATGTACTACCATATAAAGTTTTATATTACATTTATCAACGATTATCGACTGAAACTTCAAATAGAAATTTAAAATATGAAGACCTGGTTTGGGTTTCGAGAATGCGTCATCTCCACATACCAGTGCCTCGACATCCGGCAGAAGTCCCATGTCTTGCAGTGCCTGAGTAGTGCACTCTCTGTTATCTGCAGTACACACAGCTATCTAAAAACACTATTTTCATCTCTTTGGTCAATGCGTGATCTCAGGACACTTCTTGCGTTTCTTGGCCTTTTAAACAGTCATTTTTTGCTTAAAATTAGCCCAATATGAGATAAACGGGTTGTAAGTTTTATATTTTATTAGTTTTGCCCGGATAATTTGATTCAGCAATCTTTTTGTTTACGAAACCTTGAATTAACCAATCAGGAACGACCTTTCAGTTTTCATCAAATCATTTAGTTTTTTCGCCATGGATTTTTTCTCAGTCATTTCTGTCCTACAACAAGCTGTTCGAATTCAAATATTTTAATTATATTCATTGGCGGAACAGGAAATAGACACGCACTTTGATGTTGAACTTCTTGAGCAGCTTGAACAGAAGAAGTACATCTCCAATTGGAGAGACGCTGGAGGATGAGGCCCCATCATGTACTTTCATTCCACCCACCCAGTTGTCGATTACAATCTAGAAACACAAACAAACGAAAATAAGTCAAGGGTAACCAGTTGCAATGCTAGTTCAACAAAAATAGCTGATCATCTGTAGGTCTGTAATCGTGCTACTCGCTATGTACTGTTTTTGCTGCTGACTGGAGCAAAAATGGATCTATAAAATTGTCCCATTATTTCTAGGTGAACGATTTAAAGCTAACTGAATAATTGAAAAAAATGATGATTATTTTATTCCTGATTTTGCGTAAAAAGTGAACACTGTGAGATTTCCCTCAGTTTGAGTAGGGAAAAAGATGTTATAAAATCCAGATATTGAATTAGATATGATAAATAAATAGATAGAATAAAGTAACGAATAAATGATTATCGAATCCAGAATTGAATGTATAGTTTTAAAGGTATAATGTTTTCTGACTTGAATTCACACTTAAGGCTCTCGCAAGTGACCGCTTCCAAAACTCAAGTGACAAACGAATTGGCTGGTGAGATTTGTCCTTGAATCAATTTACTGCACTATAAGTAAATAAATAAGATATAGTTGGATAAGACAATACATAAGTAAATAGAATATAATGAGGTACCGAAGGTCGCCTCATGACACTTCCCCCTCTAGAAAAAAATTTATCTTAGTATAAATTTTGGATCAGGCAGGAAGATGAGAGAAAAATAAGCACCGGAATGGGTAAGAGATAACCTAATCAATAGGCTAGTATGGCAGAGTTTACAAAGTTTTTAAAGTTTATCATGCTCTTCGGTTCTCGTTTTCTTAAACGGAGTAGTTTGCTCCTTAGTCCTAGGAAACGGCACTTTCCGAACAATGGGGGTGAATGGCGTAGTAACTTGGTTGGCGAGTGGCGTAGCAGTTTGATCAGCGTTGTGTCGTTGTGACGAAAGCTCCGCAGGGTCCGATTCAGTTACACTCTTAACTGAATGGCGAAGAGGATCTCCGTAAAACCTCGTTGGTTTCTTAGACCGATTAGATGACCGAAACTGGCTTGAAGATTGAGAGGTATGATTGTCAACCTCCGTGTTGCCAGTATTTGCAGAATCCTCTGTCGCAGTCTGAGGGACCTTGTCTGAAGTCTGTGGCAGATCCTGGGGTGGTGTTACCGCCCCTGAAGTAGATGTTAAGCCAGGGTGAGTTGAAGGATCGACAATCGGAGTGGTTGAAGTAGCGATCACGGGAGCCAATCCTTGAGGCGTTGAAACCGGTGCCTCCACTAATTCGAGCTGGGGGCCAGTGATCAATGAGTCCTCGCTCGACGACTCTGCTGTTAAGTCAATCACCTTACCCTTCGAAGGTTCAATTGACTGCCTTGTAGCTGAAGTGGTAGCTGGTTGAGATTGAGGCCGAGGAGCAATTCGTCGTTGCAAACGTTCTCCCACTGTGCCAGGCGTAGCTGAAATCTTAGGGAGATTAAAATTATGTCTTAGGCTTATGTGATTTTTTCGATAAACTTTTCCTTTGTCGGTAATGTAAGTATGATCCGTAACACGAGTAATCTTGATTTTTGCTAATTTGAACAGAGGCTTTCCCGAATTTCGATCAAGGACTTTCCGAAAGATTTTGACTCTTAGAGGATCTTGTAAAACTAATTTTTCTAATTTACGTGTTTTTGAGAGTCTTTTAGGCCTCGAAGAGGACGACACGTTCAATCTCTGTGAATGCGAGAGTGCTGGAGCTGACGTATCACGGGCGTTGTCGTAGAAGCGTAGGGTTCCCTTTGTGATCCCTGTCTTGAGCGAGTTTGCGAGGTCGCTATTACGAGCCGCCAATTCACGGAGAAGATTCTGGCCTTGCTGTGGGGGCACATTTCGTTTCCACTGCTTCCAGGTGTTAGCTGCTTTTGCAAGGTTCTCCAGGGCTTTATACGGTTGACTATCCGCGATACGCTCACCCACGCCAAAGAGTGGCTTGAACTTAAACGGGATTTCTGGGCTGTGTGAGGATCCTCTGGGTACCACTTTAGCCCTATCGCGGCTGTAATCCTGGCTTGACCGTTGCTCCGGAGTTAGGAGGTTCCTTTCAAGTCCTTGCGCTGAAGTAGGAGAATGAACAACATTATCACGTGCTAATGAAAACTCAGTATTAGGTTTCCTCCCAAAGTGTAACTCAAACGGAGATACTTTTAACGTAGAATGCTTAGTTTTTCGAATATCGTCGATAATTTGTTGTAAAGTTGACTTCAGATTAGTAAAATTAGGATCTAAATTTTCTGTTCCTAACTTCCGTTTTATGGTCTGGATCGATCTCTCCACCAGCCCACAACTCCGATGATCCCCCACCGCTGTGAGGATGTGTTTAATACCTCTCATTTTGCAAAATTCTTTAACGACGTCAGAATGAAAACCAGATCCGTGATCCGTCCTAATGCTTTCTGGTATGCCATGATTACGAATATATGATCGCAAAAATTTGACAATTTTTTTCGCACTGGTTGATTTAGTTAACATCACCAAGGGAAATTTAGAAAAACGATCTATAGCGACTAAAATGTAGATTTTCCCCTTCTTATCATCTACCAACGGACCCGCGAAATCAAGTTGCAATTCTTGATTTGGAGCTGACAAAGTTGGTAACGGCTTAGCTGAGTTATAGGTCGCAGAAGTTTTGATGTTCTTACCAAAAAGAGTACACTCCGGGCACTTTTCGCAAACGTTGACAATTTGGCGGTTAAGAAATGGCCACCAAATATATTCCGAGGCGTCCATCATGGCTGCTTGGCCTGGGTGCGATCGATGCAGTCGGGTCAGGATAGCACTACGTAACTGTTCGGGAATGGCTAGTTTGTTGTCTATCAGTACACAGTTGTTCACTACCGCCGCTTTTGTCCAGAATTGGGCCATGTAGGTCCCCAGTTTGTTAAAGGATTGTACATCCTTATTAATGATTGCAGTCCTCATCGGTCCGAGGAACGGGTCTTCCCCTGTCAGCTCTCCCAGCAGATCCACATCAAATAGTCCTGGCAATCCGACCACCTTCTTCTTGTCCTGAGTAACTAGCGGTTTGTGGTTGTTGATAGCATTAACCCCCATTCGAAGTACATCTCCTCTTCTGGCCCGCCTTGTCAACCGCTGCCTCTTATCCAGGAACTGAGTGAGGGCCTTTTGCGTAGTCTGTCCTCTAGTGACCACGAATCGTTCTCGAGAATGTCTCTGTCGGGCAATGTTCCGGGAACGTATTTGATCAATACGGCTCGGGCGATCCAGAGGGCGAATTGTAGACATCTTAGGTCTTATTTGACTGGAGGTGCGAAAATTAGGGGAACTTGTAGAAAAGTTCTCGACAAAATTAAGGAGATTTGTTTGTTCGATCGTAGTATTTACAAAGTCAACAGTATTAGTAGAGTTATTTAGAGTAGAGTTAAGAGTAGTATTTTGAGAGAGATTATTTGAAGTATCCATATCGTAACTGATTTCTAAGTTGTAAGGTCGGGGACAATGAGTTTGAGCCAAAACTTTTGGTTTAGCGTATCTCATTTGCATACTGTGCTGTGATTGGTCGAGAGTACCAGAGCATGAAACGTCGACCTCTCGCGGCGATGTTAAATGCTCACGTTTTTGCATACGAGCATATGATTGGCTGGTTGACTGAGAGCATGAACTGACGCCCTCTAGTGGCGAGAAGTAACGATGATTAATTTGCATATCCTTTTGGGATTGGTTGACAGATTGAGTACAGTTTGTGACGCCCTCGTGCGGCGACGAACTGAACTGTTTGCAACAGTATGATTGGTCAGATGAATCGAACGTTGATTGGTCTGTTGTATGAGTTAAGAGGTAGCTAATGTTGCCTCCAATTTCACCAAGCGATCTGATTGGTCGGAACTCGTTATACTGTGAAATATGCCCCACCGGCACTATTTGAGGTTTAGACCGAGTACTAATCGAATTTAAAGCATTATGAAAAGCTTGAATAGATTTAATGACGAATAATTCGTCATGCGACGATGGCAACGGTGCTTCAAAAGTCGGGTATCTAGACAAATAGTCGACGATGCCTAGAGAAGAACCGGGTATATGTTCAATGTGATAATCGAACGGAATGAGGCGGTCCGCCCAGCGAGAGAGTCGTGACTGATAAGATTTTTTACCATACGTTTCATTAAGGGCGGAAATGATGGCCTTATGATCGGTCAGAATAACAAATCGTGTACCAAGTAAATAGGTACGGAAATGCTCGCACGACCATACAATAGCCAGAAGCTCTAACTCATTGGTACTATACTTGATTTCCGCGGAGTTTAGAAACCTAGAAGCAAACGCAATCGGGGCCCAAACATTTGGCTCGACTTCTTGTTCCAAACAGGCCCCCAGCCCGCTATGACTGGCATCGCATTTAACACGCGAAGCTTTCGAAGCATCGTAGTGAAACAAGTTAGGGATGTTTGCGATGAGGTTTAAGATCTTTTGAAACGCAATAGTTTGCTCTTCCCCCCACAGAAAGGATTTCTTATTCTCCGCTTTTAGCGAAGCTCTAAATGCGACTGTGTATTTGTGCAAATCCGGGATGAAGCGTTGGAGATGATTGAGTGTACCCATAAACGATCTTAACTGTTTAAGAGTTTTGGGTGGCAACACGGATTTGATTGCCTCTATTTTTGAGAATTTCGGGGCGTAACCGTTTTCATCGATTTCGTACCCTAACCAGACTAGTTTATTAACTGAAAACTCACATTTACTAAGTTTCAACGCCCATCCTTCTTCATCCAATCGACTCATGACTCTTTCGACTAGTACATTATGGTCTTCAACTCTTCCTTTAGTGACAACCAGTATATCATCAAGGTAACATATGACACCCTCTAATCCTTGTAACGTACAGTCCATCGCTTTCTGAAATTCCGTAGGCATGTCCGTCAGTCCGTAGAAACCAGTCTTGAATCGATATGTGCCTGTTGCCTCTCCGCACAAAATACTAAAGTTACAATGACTACTGGTTAGTTCCGATAAAGGTAATTGACTGAAAGCGTATTTAAGGTCAAGAGAAGTAAACCACACCTCCCCAGGTGTGTCTTTAGTTATAATTTGAGCCGCCGAGTCAATCAATTCATGCATATTAGGCATTTGATATTTGTTTTGCCAGATTTGGGCATTCATAGGTTTAGCATTCAGTGCGAGTTTTATAGACCCATCTTTCTTTGCTGTTAGGACTATGGGTGCAATGAAATGATCCGTTGTACACTTTTCTAACTTTTCAATGTGCTTGTCTTTAATCAACTTTTTGATCTCAGCCGTGACCCGATCTTGCAAATGTATAGGGACTTTTCGGCCTTTAACTTGTCTGGGCACCAACGGGTCTTTAAAATTTGTGAATACTTTATGGTTTTTAGACCTCCCCAGTCTGCTGAATACATTAGGGTACCTGTTGACAAAGTGGTTCCTCCAGAATTTTGAGGTCGGATCCAATTCCTCATCTTCCTCGGCGTAGCTAACTTCTGCCGGTCTGCGTTGCACCGTTTCAATTCCTAACTTCTCATGAAGGTTCAAACCAAGTAAGTTTCGGGTACGATTTTCGGAAACCAAGAAACACGCCTTATCAATCTTCCATCCCTTCGATGCAATAGGGATTTCCAGAGAACCAAACAGTTTAATTGGTTTCTTGTTATAATCGACATAAGTAACGTCTAAAGGATGTCTCGCGATGTCCTTAAATTTAATGTTGGGGATCCGCTTCATGAGTATATCCGCCGTTTTCTTGTTTAAAAAGGATACGGGACTTCCAGTGTCCACCGTGGAATAGAAAAAGGAGTTGCCGGATCGTAACTGAATGCTGAGGCTCCTTGGTTGTCCTCCCGCTGTCTTTAGAAGCTCCACATTGTTAATCTGCACAACGTCTACTGCCATGACCCCATATTCCGGCTCGCTGTCACCGTTTACGTCAATTAGATTACACTCTTGATCTGTAGGCGTCTCGTCTTTTTGTATCATGTTAACGCGTCGTCTCGTAGTGTTACACACCTTAGCAAAATGACCCTTCTTTTTGCAAGCATTACAAGTAGCTTCTCGAGCCGGGCATGACCGGCGATGTTCCAAAGAAAACGGGTTGCCACAAAAATAGCATGGTTTGTTTTGATTTTGTCGTTGGTTAGGACGAGATACACCACCTCCCCGGCTGCTATTTCCTTGATTCTTAAATTGTTGTACTGACGAAGTTGGTTCCTGTTTGACTCGAATAGAGTTTGTAGAATTGAAAGTAGCGTTATTATGCGGGAGCAATTTCTGAAATTGTTCTGATGTTTTAGCCCCTTTCTCGTTTTCCAAAGCCAGTTGTAGAGTATCATCAAGATTAGCTTTTGCTCTGATTAGTTGCCTCTGAACTTCCACATCGCGAATGCGGCCAATGAACAAATCTTTCAATGTTGCTCTTTCCTGATCGATCGGCCAGTTACATAACGCGGTTTGAGCGCTAAGTCGGGCATAGAATGACGAGAATGAGTCATTATCCTGCATGAATATAGTATTGTATAGCTTAATCCTTTCGACTGTGTAGTCACGCTCTGCCTTGAAGACATCCTCACAACACTTATGAAAATCTCTGAACGAGCTAGTATTGAGTTCCAAATGAGGGTAGGAATCCAAAAATCGTTCTTCCCCTCGTTTCCCAGAGCAAAGAAAAGTCGCGATTTCAACCGCGCCTCTGCCTCATGGTAACACCAGTTATTTCCAATGCGAGGTCCTTTTCGTCTCCTGTCTTGATTGTACTCGTCGATTCTTCTATTAGCTGCTGCAATTCGGAGGTTCCTATTGGCCAACTCTGCGGCATTTTCATCTGCACTCGGTGCTTCGGGCTTTGGGTAAGGTTCATCCACTAACTCTGCTGGGGCAACTAGTAACTCCCCCGGTGAGATGTTGTCTTTGAAACTCACCGCCAAAAAAAATTGTCCCACCCACGTCTCCCAAATGAAAGGTGGGTTAACCGATGTTCTTGCCCAAAAGGGTGGTATTCCGAGTAGGTTAGTCCTGTCTTCATTCACAGGAACTGCTGGCTGCGCCATGAGATTTCCCTCAGTTTGAGTAGGGAAAAAGATGTTATAAAATCCAGATATTGAATTAGATATGATAAATATATAGATAGAATAAAGTAACGAATAAATGATTATCGAATCCAGAATTGAATGTATAGTTTTAAAGGTATAATGTTTTCTGACTTGAATTCACACTTAAGGCTCTCGCAAGTGACCGCTTCCAAAACTCAAGTGACAAACGAATTGGCTGGTGAGATTTGTCCTTGAATCAATTTACAGCACTATAAGTAAATAAATAAGATATAGTTAGATAAGACAATACATAAGTAAATAGAATATAATGAGGTACCGAAGGTCGCCTCATGACACACTGGCAAAAGCAGTTGCAAAAGTGTCAATGAATGCACAGAAGCCCAAAAATGATTGACTTTTACTTAGCCAAAAATGCTTATACAAAATCTGAAGAAGAAAATTTTGACATAATTTGAAAATATTAAAAAGCTGCAAAAGATTTCGGAACTCAATTACTTGTAAATAACCGGAATAAACTGAAAAATTTTTCAAACTAAGCAAAAAATGCTTAAGCCATAGGTACATTCTGTGCTGTGTCAAGGTCTAAAATTGTGCTTCGTAAGTTGTTCTAAGTTTTTGAAACTGTTATTTTCTTGCGTTGAAATGTGTAAGAATTTAGTCTCTGACTTGAATTTTTCGACAACTGAAATTAAGGAGGAGCTTTATTTTCCGGTTTGTTTCTTCAAGCGTCAAGGAACATAGTGAAGACACTTATATAGGTCGAAATGATTTTTTAAGTTTTTTCAGGAAAAAGTTGTTCGGGCCAAATTTGATATTTGAATTTTTTTTTTCAAAAATTCAATTCAAATTCATTTTAAAAATTCTGTGCTGTATTTTTTCAAAAATCAAATCAAAGATCAAATTTGGCGTGAACAACTTTTTCCTGAAAAAAATTAACTCAAAATTAAATCATTTCGACCTATATAAGTGTCTTCACTATGTTCCTTGACACTTGAAGAAACAAACAGGAAGATAAAGCTCCTCCTTAATTTCAGTTGTCGAAAAATTCAAGTCAGAAACTGAATTTTTACACATTTCAACGCAAGAAAACAATTCCACAAAACTTAAAACAACCTACGAAGCACAATTTTGGACAGATCAAGGATCTCAAAGTATACCAGCATTTTGACATTAACTCAAATAGTCACTAACCTCATGCGCTTCAGTCTCACTGTATGCATACTGGGTCACTAACATCCTCTCCAATGCACGCTTGCACATAGTCATTGTATCTTCAGCTGAAGCACAACAAACAACATGTTATTTAGAGGCCAAGAAAGGTCATCATCGGTACCGCGTAGCGTGCCAGGGGGGGGGGGGGTGAGCTCCCATCTCTCTTCAATTCTGATAGCCAAATTCTCCCATAGCGTCCTTAATTTGATAGCATTTTAAAATCCTCATTTCTGTCTGACTGACCAACCCTCAAATTTGGCGCCCTATATATATACTTTTTTGCGGCTGGACTTCGCGTCAAAAAAACGCTCAAAAATGCTAAGACAAGATTTCTGATCAAAAATTAGCAAATTGCTTGACATTCTAAAGTTAATGCAGAGCTCGAATGGCTGAGACCAAAATTTTTCAAAAAAAAAACCATCAAAAAAACTCCTGCGCATGCCAATGGCCGCCATATTAAAAACAATTATTACATGCAACATAATTTTATCTTTACCACGCTATTTTAGAACCCATACTGGCAATTTATACTGAAAATTATAGATTAAAGTACTTACATTAATGCAAATGAAAAAAAAAAACAAGGCTCTTGGAACAGTGGACTGAAAAACCGAGTCAAAGAAATAGCTCAACCATAAATCATTGTTTGTTTACACGGCGGGGTGGGCAGTAATGATGAATGCGCACGCAATTCCATAAATTTCCTTTTCGTTCAAGCAAAAAAATTAGCGATGGAATACTTGTGAGACTTGTAGTTGGGAACAACATGTGACAGTTATTAATTTGAAATCTGCAGATGTCAAAACTGTTAATTGATAATAACTAACTTAAATTGAATCTGATAGCCACAGTGATATCCAAATAAAAACAATTGTTTTTACAAAAAACGGTTTGTTAAAATGATTTAACTCAGAATTAACTACCCAACTAGGTTACAGACAGGCGTTATTTAACCAATAAATCTCGGTTCATTAAAAGCTTTGTAGCAAATTGTTGAGTAAAACCAAGCAATCATGGAAAGGATTTTTCTCACTCAGCCAAGTTCACAGACCCTACATTACCGTAGACTAACGCAACCGAAATAAAACTCCATAACATGCTTCATTTAGAAATTATCCAAGATTTGATAATTGCAATCATCGTTGTTCAAGACCAAAATCGGTTAAAGTAGATGATTGGTTTTAAGCATTTTAATTGTTTAAAGGTTAAAAAAATGGCTGATTTTTTTTAAGCAGACATCACTGATACAAACACAACTCAGCCATAAACTGTTCCAGGTTCAAAAACAGGTGAGGTTAGATACAACTAATCCTTTAAGAGAGGAAAGAACTTTTGTCTTTGATGAAGAAAAAAAAAGTTACCACAAAAATCAAATAACAAAGCTCCTCTGTTCATTAAAAAACGTCATTTCACAGGAGTTCAATTAAGTCTAAAAATATTTTTATAAAAATCTTTATGCTTCGGTTGATACACAAGGTTAAAATCATTCAATATTTTCGTAACAAGCAAACTTGGAGTTTTATAGAACGATTTATAACAATTGACATTTTTGTATGAATGTGAGAACCCATTTTGAGATTTGAGAACCCATTATGAATGTGAGGACCCATTTTGAGATTTAAACTTTTCTATCGACTACAAACTCTAAACACAGAGTGGAGGCAGAGCTACAATATGCGGAAACAAAAGCCAATTCGATTTTTTTGAAATATCGAGAAAAGCTGGATTTACGTTAAAATGCGTACAAAAATTTAAAGACAAATTTGCATCGAAACCAAAGTAACTAAGCAAAAACAAAGCGTACAACTATTGAGCAGACCCCCTTCAGCCAAAAAAAATCCTAGAATTACACCCTCAAGGAACAAAAATTACACTTTTAAACCGATCAGGTATAACCAGTAAAACTTTTAAGCCTAGTAAGCTAAAAAAGGAAAAAAAGGAAATTATACAGGACCGGACCAATGCCGGATAATCGCGAGCGTGATATTCGTATGCTTCACACGAGCGTAATATTCGCATACATCACACATTGAACAGAACGGTTGCAAACACTAACGAGAACAGGAAAAAAGCAGCTCTATAAAGTGCAATAAAAAAGTATAAAAAGCCTAGAATTATTTTAAAAAATCGGCTATGTCCCAGATTTGATCTGGGACCTTATGTTACAGAATTGCAAACACTAACGAAAACACAAAAAAAGAAGCTCTATAAAGTGCAATAACAAAAAGTAGAAAGAGCCTCGAATTAGTAAAAATTCGGCTATGTCCCAAACTCGATCTGGGACCTAATGTGACCTAAAGATAATGAGTCTCACACACTAACCAGTAAGCCACAGACGCTAAATGAATCACAAACACTAGCTACAATTAAAGCAGAGAACAGATGCTATGGAATTTCCACTGCTACAGATAGTGATTATAGCAAAAGTGCCACCAAATAAGTGAACACTTTAAATTGACACTTTTATTTGCGAATTAGATTAGAAAAACATGAAGGCTCGTAAAAATACACTACGAGGATTGCTAGTCTAATAATTCCGTGCACCCTGAACGACGGAGTTTAAAGAATTACAACAAATTTATTTTTTTAAAAAGTCCGTAAAATTTAAAAAAAAACTTTTTTTTTGAATTTTTTTTAATTAAAACTTAAAAAACTAAACAGAATCAAAATATATTGCAAGAATTACTTCACCAATGGGTTTTAAAATTGACATTCAGACAAACATAAACAGACCAATTGATAATCAATTGACAATCAGACAAAAATATACAGACGGATGATACAGACGGGAAGTTTCAAATTTACAAAAAAAAGGTCCCAGCTGGATTCGAACTACAAACCTTTGTCGACTTAAACTGGTGTGTTATTATCGTGCAAAATCTTGTGAACAAATCTCTTTACGGGAAAAAGTACATTAGTGTAGTACCCGGCTGCAACACCCTTGCTAACCGCAAGGGTTAACAGTATCAGTTGTTGACACCAAAGATCACACTTAAATGAATCAATTTAAGTGTGATCTTTTTCTTAAATTAAATTTCAATTATCAAATTAAAATTTTAACAAAAAAAAATTACCAGAAAAACAAGGCAGACTAAATTTTATTTTGATTCTCAAGTTGATGTGAACGTTATAAATTTTGATGATATAGGCGATAGTAAACAGACAATGACTTTTCTGCGCTTTTATTCAGTTACTATGGGATAGTCAGCCGAAAATTTGAGCCCTAAACGCTGAACTTCAACCTAGATTTATCACTTCATAGAGCTGAGTAACTGTACGAAAAACTGGAGGTATAATAATATACATGAAGACGGTTTATACTTTAAGCCGTGGAGGTGAAGTTTAAATCCCGTTTTTTTTTTGCTTTAACTCGTAGACGCTTAAACTCGATAATGCAGGGTCTGGGAACACGGCAGAGTGAATAACTTGGCTTAACGAAAGAGTAATTGTACAAACGGTTAAAAAGCAAGAAAATAAAAACATAATAACCAAAGACTATTTTAAAATCAAAAGGCTCTACGCAATTTGAGTATGGGCCTTTCGCTCAGTCAAAACCCTTCAAAATTAATATATATCGACTTTACACTTTGATAGGCAGCAAAGAATGCGCTTTAATTTAAGGTATATCGCAAGATCATATTAACCCAGTAAGTTTGCCTAATTGATTTACACTTTTTCAAAAAAGCAGGCAAATTTGATGGGAAAATGTGAACTGATTTTATTACTTGCAAGCTCGGTTCAAAATCGAAAGACTCCCAATTTTCTAGCCATATTTACTTTAAATTCAACTGAAATGATAGGCATAAGATAATGATCAGGGAGGAAAATACTCATTAAACAGCAACGCAAAACCCCAATTCCTAAGCAAGTAGCACAATGTTGGAACCAAAATCATATCTTCACGACAAAATCCACACATGCGAAGCTTCGCTTCGTCACCACCAGCTAGAAAAAAAAACGGCGAAAAAGCTCTTTAGAGCAAAAAAAATTGGTCGAAAATAGAAAACTGCCGTTACTTGAACTACAGAGAAGCAAATTGCGATAGAACACAAACATAAAAATTAAGTCGAAAAAAATAAAATTGCTGAAAAAACAAGGTGAACATAATTTATCGTATGTCTCGATTAAATACAACTAGAGCCCAGCTAAAGCTGGAGGAACGTGTTTGATATTTTTTAAAATTATCCTGATGCAGGACGAAATGCGGAAATTACAGAAATATCGACTTCGCCCAAAACCTCAGTTGTTTCTCTAAAATAAGTAAGAAGTGAAAAGTTTTGAGATATTGGAATTTAACTTAATATTTTTCTTAATTAAGACTTAATATTTCTCTTCCAAAAAATGAAGGAGTTGCTGCTTCTAAAGAAAAAATTCTCGCAACAGGTTATTTCGATTGAACTTTACAGCACAAGAAAAATCCAAGATATTGCGACTAAGCTAACAAAACTTCAGCAGATACATGAAATTCAGACAAATCAATTTTTACCGGACAAATGTTTTAAATTGCATACATAATGAAAAACAAGGTCGACCCGGGATTCTAACCCCGGATCCTAAGGCGAAAAGGCGACGGCGTTTCCCTTCGGCCAAGTGCAAAGGAATCTGGAAGTTGGCAAGATTCAATAACAAAGCAAATTTAAAATTTTTAAGAAGTTGTTGACGGGATTTTCAAGAAAAGTTGACGGGATTTTTAAGAAAAGTCGTTCCCGATTACAAGAAAATTTCGCCAGTGTAATAAGCATTCAAACAAGATTTTCCGTATTTTACAATGTAGGAGAGCGTGAAATTTAGCTTCCCAGAACGAATACCAACATCAACTCTTTGCTTCTTGAAAAAAGTAAATAAACAGGCACTTTTTTACAGACTGATGATTGCATTTTTTACACAAATCAAGCGCAAGATTTTAATGCGTTTCCAATTAAGTGGGACATTCGACCAGAATGGACCAAAATGCAGATTCAACAGATTCGAAATTTTAGCAGCTAACCTTCCGAATTGACGGTTTTAAGAGATTAACAACGCTATTGGGACGATTGGTCAAACGGTGAAGGCTAAAATATTCTGGTATTTTGAAATTTTAAAAATTCGAAGTATGACGTCATATTTCTGAGAAACGTCAGACACGGCCATTTTGGCAGAAAACCGAAATAAAACACAACATTAGTTGCGATAGCGATAACAACGAGAATTGTGATTGAAAAACAACAACAGATAGCAGAAGTAGCAGAGACCATTCCGAGTTGCAACTATTGTGTCGCAACAATAGTTGCAAGGCCGTTGCGTACAACGGTGAAGGGTGGAAGACAGCCTTCCGGAAGGAAGATAAGGATCTTATTTCCCCGGATTCAAGAATCCGGAGGGGTCTCGGGACTGGAACTTTTATCATCTTATATAAGCTTTTAGCTTCCCTATTATGTCCTGAATTGAATTTAATTAACATCTGAATTCATTCTGCTAAGATGAGAAGCTAGGAGTTGGGGGAAGGGGTTGATCCATCTTCGATGGAGATGATGATTTTTATCTACTGAACAAAAACAATAATAATTCAATAAATAGTAGTAGCCCTGATTTTAGGAGTGATCTCGTGGTCTGGGAATACTGAGACCCAGCCATGAGCTCACTATTTCTGCATGTAATCTAGTTAATTTGAGTGCTTTGACCGAAGCCGAAAGCAGTAACGTTTTTGTCGACCTGATGTTAGAAAGACCACCGAAAGTACTGGCTTGGTAGAGACGGTGAAAAGCATGTAGAGCTCTGTTTAGACGTTGGCCAGTCGTCTTAGAACCTAGCTTTATTTTCCGTCGATATGTATCTTCCGGGCGAATGTTACAAAGACATTGCCTAGAAAAAGGACTTAAAAATCTACACACCATATATTGCTTTCGATTAAAATATTTTTATAAAAATCTTTATGCTTCGGTTGATACACAAGGTTAAAATCATTCAATATTTTCGTAACAAGCAAACTTGGAGTTTTATAGAACGATTTATAACAATTGACATTTTTGTATGAATGTGAGAACCCATTTTGAGATTTGAGAACCCATTATGAATGTGAGGACCCATTTTGAGATTTAAACTTTTCTATCGACTACAAATTTTAAACACAGAGTGGAGGCAGAGCTACAATATGCGGAAACAAAAGCCAATTCGATTTTTTTGAAATATCGAGAAAAGCTGGATTTACGTTAAAATGCGCACAAAAATTTAAAGACAAATTTGCATCGAAACCAAAGTAACTAGGCAAAAACAAAGCGTACAACTATTGAGCAGACCCCCTTCAGCCCCTTCTTGAAAAAAGTAAATAAACAGGCACTTTTTTACAGACTGATGATTGCATTTTTTACACAAATCAAGCGCAAGATTTTAATGCGTTTCCAATTAAGTGTGACATTCGACCAGAATGGACCAAAATGCAGATTCAACAGATTCGAAATTTTAGCAGCTAACCTTCCGAATTGACAGCCTTCCGGAAGGAAGATAAGGATCTTATTTCCCCGGATTCAAGAATCCGGAGGGGTCTCGGTACTGGAACTTTTATCATCTTATATAAACTTTTAGCTTCCCTATTATGTCCTGAATTGAATTTAATTAAAATCTGAATTCATTCTGCTAAGATGAGAAGCTAGGAGTTGGGGGAAGGGGTTGATCCATCTTCGATGGAGATGATGATTTTTATCTACTGAACAAAAACAATAATAATTCAATAAATAGTAGTAGCCCTGATTTTAGGAGTGATCTCGTGGTCTGGGGATACTGAGACCCAGCCATGAGCTCACTATTTCTGCATGTAATCTAGTTAATTTGAGTGTTTTGACCGAAGCCGAAAGCAGTAACGTTTTTGTCGACCCGATGTTAGAAAGACCACCGAAAGTACTGGCTTGGTAGAGACGGTGAAAAGCATGTAGAGCTCTGTTTAGACGTTAGCCAGTCGTCTTAGAACCTAGCTTTATTTTCCGTCGATATGTATCTTCCGGGCAAATGTTACAAAGACATTGCCTAGAAATAGGACTTAGAAATCTACACACCATGGATTGCTTTCGATTTGCTAGTAACTTGAGAGTAGACATTAAACTTTGAAGCCTATTCGTTGTAGCTTTAAGTAGACAGTGTAGCCGGTAAAATTAAATGGATAATACTTGGAGGACACTGGATTGAATTAAGTTGAGGCTTTTGATTGCATCGCATTTGAGTTGACCTGGCCTCACCGATTTGCCATGAAAGAAGTTAGCAATGTAAAATGTTTCATTCAAGGTCAGAAGATTAAATAGCCTTCAGAAGGATGCATCACTCATTTGGAGGCCAAAACAACACATACACAATCTAATTCAATCTTTTGAACTCTACGTTTCATCTAATTGATTATAGTAGCGGCACTATGTCTACTTGAAGCGACAACAAATTGGCTCCAAAATGAAAATCCCACTCTTAACAAACAAGCCATGCGAGCAATCCACGATCTGTAGATTTTTAAAGCCTAAGTCTAGACATTGTCAAAAATGGATATGCATTACAACCGTGCGCTCTACTTGATTGAAAAGAAAACAAACAGCAAAAAAAAACACTGCCGCAATTTAAAAAAAAACAGCAAATTAAGCAAAAAAAATTGGTCAATAAAAAACTAAAGCACAATAGGAACAAATGAGTATGCTCCCATAAAATTTGAAAAAAAAAATGACGATAGCCACGAACATTTTATACTAATTTAAGAAGTTAGTTGCATTTAAAGAAACAAAGAACTATTGAGTGATCTGATTTGTGCCTCACAGAAACAGCATGTAAGTAGTTGTGGTCATACGTTAGGTTATGATTAGCAAATGACGTACTAATATCCAAGGCACCTGAAAACTGAATTTGTTATCGCCAAATGAACTCCAAATTTGATACCCATTGGGCGCTAAACAAAATTGAACCCCACAATTTGAATGTCTAATTTGAAGACACAGTTTGCGTGGAGCCACAGATCAAAAAATTTTTACCAACAAGCGTATCGTTTATCTTTTAAATTTTGAATGAGTGATTTAGAAAAAAAGCTTTTTGAAGCTATCGTTTATCAGATACAAATTTAAGAATTCATAAATCTAGAAGTTATAAATGTTTCGGAGTTGTCAGTATGTCGTTGGAAATCTTTGTAGCAACGTGGACCGAATAACTTTAACAATTCCCTGCAATGATTCCTAGTCAAGAACAACCATCCACATGTGAACTTAATATGCGGGTTTTGACCTAGTAACAATATTCTTCTTTTACAGTAAGGAAAAATCGTTGGAGATATCAGTTGAAGCTTGTGCATAAAGATCAAAACACTAACTTAATCCAACTTAATTTTAAACAAACCTAGCATTGATCCCGGTACGAATTTGTCCTGTTTGGTGTCGAATCCCATCAAATCATGAATTGCATCACCACACACCTTGCGACCGGTAGATGTCTCAAAATTCTCCACCAGTTGCCACAGCCACGGAGACCACATGGAGTGGAAGTCAACTAAGGTGCCATCCTAAACAGAGGACAGAGGTTCGAGTCCCACTCATGATTATTAGAGAAAACTAGGACATTTTCTTGTGAAGACTACCAAACACCCCCCCCCCCCTCCCTACGGGAGGGGAAAGGAACTATGGCGTACCTCAAAGAAAACAGGTCAAGCGTGGTATCATCTTAGAGCTCTATTGGTCGTGATTCAGGAATCCCTCTTTTTTCTTTTTAAATTCCACCCGTGCCGGGTTTCGACCCCCTGCCGACCCAAGAGATCCCCCTATGTACTATTTTGAGATATCCATTTTGTCTGACCCTAAAATGTTTCTACAGGCGCCAATATATCTTAATTTTTTGGTCCAGTTTTTCACAAAGTGCCTAAAAACGCCTTTTGTGACCTGTTTTTTCAAAAATCTGCCTGCGGCGCAGAAATTTTTGTCAAAATAAGTCTTTATAGGGATTTAGCAGAGCTCAGAAAAACAATTTGGTCGACCAAAAATACTTTTTTTTGGAAAATCCGCCTCACCTTGAGAAAATCCTAGACCATCCCCTGCTTACAATTTTAACAGAGTATAAGCAAATTTTAACCCTTACACAAAGATTTTTGTACCTAATTCAATCGCCTTTCCAAGAAAAAATATGTATAGGAAAGATTGGAAAACAAAATTTTGATTTTTATTCTCTATTTTTGATTTTTCCCTAAATCCGTAGTAGGATCATTCTGTGCTACTTGAAAAGGGACCAGCAATCCTTCTTTACATAAGAAAACAAGTAAGGTTTTAGAAAAATTCGAAAACTTTAATAGCTTTCATTTCATGCAATTGGAAAGCATATTAACGATAACTTTGAAAATTTAACATGAACAGAAAAAATTACGCAGAGGCAAATCTAAAGCAGGAGCATATAAAACGGGCTGTGAACTGGTGTTCCGAGAGTTCTACATTGGCAATAGAAAAAATCAAGAAGATCAAATTAGTTTCATTAAAATAAAAGAGAATGTTCCTCTAACAGCCTACTTAGAACTATCTATCGTCACTTACTTTATCAAATATGACCAATTCAGGAGGGTTGTTCAATCTGTTCACGTGTCTGTCAACAGTAAAGAGACTTCCTGCATGTACCTTCTGCAACACTCGTGACGTCGTCAGACTCCTGGTGCTACTTTGAGAAGACTCCACTATTCTTCTCAATCCATTGCCATCAAAGTGGGATTTACCCACACGGGATAACACACCGGCACAAGATCTCATTCTACTTGATCAGAGCGTTCCCCCTCACAAGGGACTGAGGGGATAGAGTTAGAAAAAAAGAAAGTTTAGAAAATCAAGGAAGACGTTTCGGGTTAATACATGCTGATTGGTTCTGTTAATAGCTCACTTTCATGACGAACTGAAAAAAAAAATTTCATCATAAACTGAGAGAAATATGAGTACAGATAAAAAAAAGAATGAGCAGACACACTCGAGTATCTTGTGATGATTCTGGAACATGATTCTGGAACAAATGATTCTGGAACATTTATTTCAAGGATTAAACATCCCAATTCAAGCAAATATGATTCATAATAATTCAACTGCATAAAATTCGTAACAATTCAAGAGTAAAAGATTCATCACAATTCAGGGGTGTAATATTCATCACAATTCAAATGTATACAATTCATCACAATTCAAGTTATTAAACAACAACAAAATGTTTTTCGTTATGAGTTTCAAAGCGGCAAACTTCATATCCATTCATTCCAGATTTTTTATTGAAATTTGCAACACTCTAATGAAGGAAAAACAGCAGAAAGCTTCAATGTGATTCCTTCATGGGACTTTGAAATACTTGTAGCGAACGCATCGATTTAATTGGAGGAAACTTTCGAAGGGGTAGACCAAGTTACAGTAATATACTTCTCACAAAAAAACTAATAAAACTGATACAAGTAAAAACAGCTGGACAGGAAAATTCAGCCCAAAGAAAAAACGAACACAATGTCGTATCTAAACTATGTCCCTATTGACCGAACTTCGATCGGACCAGGCCAATCTTTCTCCAATTTTCCCATTTATATCGCTTGCTACATTTTGTTGAATCAAACTATAACTGGTTTACCTGAATTGATTGAGAATTTACGATGGTTATGAACTGAGCTGACAACACCAAAAAGGGCGGCATCGATGCGGGATGCAGTCAGGTGGGATCAAACCTCATTGTATTTGCATGACAAAAAATTAATTTCTATTAAAGCCTGACGAAGCAATCTCTGAACAATCAGCTCTCCGAATCAAAAACAAAGTAGGAACATAAAACCAGCAAGGGGTCCCAATTAAGCAACCACAGCTTGAACGTTTTCTGCTATTCAGTTCAATTCAGCTAGGTGTTCAATTTTCGCAAGAATTTTTGAAACCTCAAGAAACTCCCCTCAAATCATAAACTGAACAAAAACTCATCACCACTTATAGCTTCTTTTCCAAATGAAAAAAGCACCCTAATCTAACTTGCCTATCTTTAATCTATTTTCATTATCGATAGCACGCGTGCACTAATTCAACCAACATGCAGAAATGAATCAATCTCCTTGATAGTGTTGCAACAAATGTTCGAATTTTTTTAGCAGTAATTTTTTTTCCATAAAAAACTGGAAGCTGCGCAAAAAAAACAAGACTGCTCGTATCAGGGCGAAGCCCTGAATGTTCCGACTGCCTTTTAAGGCTTATGGAGCAGTAATAACATTATAAAATTAAATGTAAAAAAAAAAAATGAAAAATTTTTTTTCAAAAATTTGAAATTTTTTATGAAGCTCATCCCCCCACACGCCATATAAAGTACAAAAGGATAGATTTCGCTACTTGTAACAAATCAATTAGGGCAAATAAGCTTCGTTAAACCAATTTGGAACGATTTCTAAGACGGATTAACTCTCCGCTTACGCGTTAATAGCGCGAAATATATCGCACGTTAATTGTCCTAAATTGGCCAAAATGGCTATCTTTAAACCCCCATAACTTAACGAAAAATGATCACAGGTGAAATGGTGCATATACAAAACAGTCCCATACAAAACAGTCCCATACAAAAGAGTCCGAAACATCAAAAAAAGGTTCTAAAAAACAGTCCCATACAAAACAGTCCAAAACCAATTGAATTTCTTGACCTTGATCTTTTGGCGCCGACAGAATTGATCTACGCTTTGAAAAATCAAACAGGGGCAATTAAAGATCAAAGAGCCAAAGTTGGAACAATAATTCGGATGAAAATCAAAGGACTCGTGGTATAGTGGTTAGAGCGTTAATCTCAGACTCTAGAGATCAAAGGATCGAATCTCCGGCGGCACAAAAAATTTTCTAATTTTCCGAAAAAAGTTGATATTCGGGTAAATATGATAACGGGTATATCTAGGGTACAACAAAGGGTTCAACCTTAGAGGGTTGGGCGGAGGGAAAAGAAAAATCAACACCTTGTATGTAATCATTATTTTGCCGGTTTCAAATCGACTCTAGCTCAATTTTGAAAAATCAAGGAAATTAATAAACTTGGAAAAATTTTATTGCTGGGCAATATGGAATCAATGTGAAAATTAAATGAGAAAAGAAAAATCTGATTATAATTTAATATTATAACTACATCCTTTCAAAAACCCAACGATATCGTTGGGTTGATATGACTTAATAATAGTGATCGAGTTTTTGGTATTTAGTTTTTTTTGGGTCTGGCTACTTTTTGTCCTGCGCACATTTTTTCCAACAGTATTTTTTTTGCTCGTCCTGGAACTTCTCGATCAGTTTTGGGAATGATGGATGCTTACTATTGACCAGTTTCACAAAATTGCTGTTCCAACCTTCTACAGCGTTGTTGGTGCGGGGAAGGTCGTTTTTTACTCTTTAATGGCAACTCCATTGCTTCATATCAAATCTGGGCTTCTGTCGTCCTTGAGAAGTCAAAAATCAGTAACTCAGAATTTTTGTTTGTAAGTATGATTTCAATCGATAGATAGTGAATTTCGTTTGTATTGAGTGTTGTCAAATGTTTGCAAATGAAACAGATTGAACAACCTGTTTCTTTTTGCTGGATTAAAAAAGAGTCCATTTTTTTAAATTGCGTTAACTTTAATGTTTCGAATATTATTGCTTTTATTGAGTGGCCGCTGCTGTTATCTAGGTTGTTCTAATTTCTCTACTATACTACCTATTGTTATCCGGATTAGTTGGAATCAAAATGTGTTTAATATGAGATAAATTTACTTATCAGCTTCTAGAACAATTATCACTTCGATCAATGGGACTGTTTTTTGGACTATTTTTCGGACTATTATGGGGACTGTTTTGTATTGGACTGTTTTTTTGTACTTTTCTATGTTTTTGCGGACTGTTTTGTATTGGACTGTTTTGTATGGGACTGTTTTGTACAGACACGGGTGAAATATCTTTTCACATTTGAGCTCAGGACAACAATAATTTCGAATGATATAAAAAATTCCGTCAAAATGGCTAGTTAAAAAGTCGAAATTTGTCTGAAGAAAAAAAAACCCACCCCGAGCACAAATATTCCGTTACGTAAACAAATCCCACGTGAAGATTTGAATATCAACATACTCCCCAGATAACAAGCCAACCAATTAAGAGCAGCATGCGTGAATTGCAATTATTCACACTCACATGACAATTTTGTTCTAGAATAAATCTACATTCGAATGATGAAATTAGCATTCGAATGTCAATCTCGCGAATGAACGTTCGAACTATTGTTGCAACACTACTCCTTGATGAACTTTACTCAACAAAAGAATGCAAAACGATGCCACATTAAGAGAAATGGCGAATGATACGATCTTGGAAAAAAGGCCCGCAGTATCAAACACTGAGAGACCATCTGATTGGCCAATGTCTCAAGAACTTCACGATTGATAGATCGAAAAATTATCATTTTAGCTGTAATTCATTTTATTTATTAGACTTTATGGACATGCTCGCCGCTTTCAACCCAAAAAAAAGCACTGTACAATTGATTAATTCAACATTATCATATTTTTTTTTCGATTTACTTTAAATTAATTTATAGTTATTTACATAAATTTAAGCATTTAGAAAATGAATGAACCCAAGAATTAACCATTCAAATTCATGAAAATGAGAAACAACATAACAAAATATCCGTCGTTATCAATAGGTTTCATAAGAAGACTACAATTTTCATCTTCATTAATTAAAGGTTTGTAAAAAGAATTATCTCGATAGAGACAAAACTCAGGAAGCTGCAAACTTATTCTTTTATGGGGTTCCTAACTATTTTTACTGAACTCTTTGATATAAACCGAAGAAGCTTTCGCTTGAATGGACCAAGTTACCATTACATAGTCTTCATATATGAATGATAAAATGCAGTCAATGGTCTCCGTGTAGTTATGATACAATGGGTCGATGACCGAATCGTTTCCATCATACGCTAAAATTGTCTGATATTTCTGGTCATGAAAACAATGCCAATTGATACTAGTCACTGATTTATTGGAAGGTCTGGCCTGAAAACCTCCAATTATCTTCCAGATAGTTTCAAATGTTCCATTCCATAGACAGATTAGCTTTTGATTGGGATCCCAAATAATCCAATCAAAGTTTTCACCGCTGCTACAACAAGGACCCAGCACATCCAAACCATTAGGATAACTCGTAGGTAAAAATTGGCTCGTAAGGAAAAATTGGTTGTGGTTAATATCAACATACATGGCTTGTTTTCTGCCAGAATTATCCGTGAAAACAATAATTATAAAACTCATCGAATAAAAACGGCTGATGAAATAAACATTTTCGACAACGATTCGTTGAGTTCGACCAGCAACATATTTTGGCAGTTTATATTTCGTGTAATCAACCGAATGAACTGTTAAAACTTCGCCACATTGTTCAACTTCAAAGCATTCGTCATGAAACAACCCAACAAAAAATTTAGATGGCGCATGTGACAAGTTTACACGACTGTCGTAAGGTATTAGTTCCAATACAGTACCAAAGTCTCGTATTACTTCAAGGATTAGACCATTTAAGCCATCAAGCGGTGAAGAAAGCAAGTTTAAATTACAGTTCGTATCAAAAACTCCACAGCTTTTTGACTTCAGAAGAGGAAATTTTGAAATCATAGATCCATTTGACTGGCTAAGCAAATTTCTCAACTCCGCATGCAATGTACCAATATTCTGCACGTGGTGTTTTGACCAGTCATCAAAATCTTGAAAACCTCTCAATTGACTTTGAATTTCATCCGTTAAACGTAGTTTTATTTCTTCCAAAAACGCCTCCACTATTTGAGAGCGTTCATCAGCATCTAGTTTAAGCTTTGCTACTACAGATGAAACAATCTCGCTTTTTTTGCGGGCTTCCTTTTCATTTTTCTCCAACAATGG